CCGGGCTGGGGGGAGGCAAGCGAGCAGGGGATGGGGACGGCTGTGATGGGGTCAACAACACAAATAAAGTTCAAGGAAACATTTTAAGAAATTAAACTGGGTTTTCTTCTTGTTGTTGTTTTGAGGTGACTGTAGCCTTCGACAAGGTTTTAGACAGTTATTGCCATTCCCATTGGTGTGAAGCGGTTTCCACAAACGTTTCCCTGTTCTCCTAAGAAATGCGGGTCTGCCACCTTCTTCACTGCAGTGTCCTTGTCTGGTTCTGGTGTCACGGTGACTCCGGCCTCATGGGGTGAGTGACTGGGTGTTCCCTCTGCCTTTATTTCCTGGAAGAGTTTGTGCAGGATCGGCTCTTTCTCCTTCAGTGTTAGATGGAACTCACTGGTGAAGCCATCAGGGCCCGGACTTTTTTGCCTGAGAAGTTTTAACGTTACGAACTCAGTTTCTTTACACGCCTATTGAGATGATCTCTTTCTTCTTGAGTCTGTTCTCCTCGTTCAGTGTTTCTAGAAACGTTTTCTTTGCCTTTCCAGCTTTGTTCATTCTTTCACTCGTTCATGTGACAAATGGGAGTGCCTACTGTGTGTCAGGCCAAGTACTGGGATTCACGGTGGGGGGCAGAAATCCCGCCTTCAGGAAGCTGCCAGCGCAGCCGGCCCTCCGCCCCTGCTCTGACACCCGCACCTGCTGTGACCACACAGCCCCTGCGCCTATGGAATTCTGGACGCCTTCTCTCTCTCACAGGTCCCCCCACCGTTCTAGAATGTTCGTCACCAACTGGTATGAAGTTCTGCCCACACGGCAAGGCTTTTCCGAGGCACCTTTTTAAGAGACGCCAACTTGGCTCTCTTGGGCCAGGCCCTGTCCTTGGGTTGCGCTGGGTCACTGGCATGTTTATGGGATTGAAGGACACCTGGCCACGGGCCAGCTCCAGCAGTGCCACGGGGTTCCCAGATGCAGGGCTGCTCTGATTCACCCGTTCCCCTGCTCCCACATTGCCCTCAGAGGGTGCCCAGCAGGAAGGGCCCAGAGGCAAGGTCGCCATGGGCCACAGCACTGGAGGTACAGGGACCACCCAGAGCGGGTGCTCCTCAAGGCCGGGCTCTTCCCCATTCCACAGCGATGGTGCATCTAGGGACAAGCTGGCAATGCCACACCTCGGAAGACCCGCCCTGGCCGAGAGGGCAGTCCTGGTGGACCAGGCCAACCCTGGACTCCAGCCACTTTTGTCCATCTGAGCTAGAGATTCACGCAAAGTGCAAATGAGGTCAGGTGCCGGGCGCACCTGAATGTCACCCGGCCCAAAGTGTCCCTGGTACATCAAACGGAGGCAAATGAGCTGAGCGTGGCCCCAGGTTCCCAGTCAGAGAACCCCTTCTGCTCAGCTGTCCCCTGAGGCTGAGGCACCCAACTTCAGTCTGGCTGCCTGTCCCCCGGGGGCCGTGATGGCTTCCTCTTGGTGTCCCTAAGACATGCATAGTGAGTCTGTACCTGCCGAAGGTGAAGGGCTGCAAAGGGGGTCCTGGTCTCTCGCAGTCCTCGGCTCAGCCTAGGTGGGAGCACGCATGCGACCCCCTGACCCTTGTTGGACTCCAGGGAAGGAAAACAGACGTCTCTTTCCCGTGGGGCTGACTTTGGACGGAGAGCTTCTCACTTGTCACCCGGGGACAGCAAGGCTTGAAGTAGGAATTTTTATCTCCTTTTTCCAAAGGCGAGGAGAACCCAAAGTCACAGAGACCTGCCTGAGAATCCGCAGAAGCATCCCACGTTCAGTCTCCAGGGAGGAGACAGAGGCGAGCCCTGGTGTGTGACTGCAGCCATTGCCCCTGCTCTGCCTCTTCCTTTCTCAGCGTCGGCCGTCCTGTGAGGGGGCCTTGGTCTCCCCATCTGGCAGACCAGGAAACGAAGGCGTGGGGAGCACGTGTTCTGCTTGGGGTGGCCTAGCGAGGGAGGCGGAGGCAGAACTGGAGCCCGGCCCTGTCTGACACCCCTCCTCTGCTTCTGTTTGGGACCCTCTTGAGAGTGTGTAGGGGTGGGATCAGTGCCGTGCTGAGGCAGCACCCACCCTTTCACTTTACATGCGGGGAAACTGAGGCTCAGAGCCGAGGACTGACTTGCCAAGGGTCACACCCCTGCACAAAGGCCCCACCCAGCCTGGGAGCCCGTGCCCGGCGGGTACTCCCTGCCCTCCCCAGCGATTCCCAGACTGCCTGGCTCACACGCGTGACTGGAGGCTGTCTCGGGGCCGACCTGCCAGCGTGGGACCCAGGCCCCTGGCAGGGCCACGGTGCAGATGGCCAGTGGGGAGGGACCTCCCCAGCTGCCCTGCTCAGGACACAGCAATTTGGTACTTTTGGCTTTTTGCAAATCCTGAAATATCACCTTTTAATTGCTTAATTTTCTGCATTCGTTCATTTTATTGAGACTAGCCTGGGGCTCTCCAGCCTGGCATATGAGAGAAGTTTTTACTTTTTAATAATAATACTTAGCATGTATAAAGTGCGTTTCATGTTCAAAGAGCTTTGCATGGTTCACTAATTAATTGGGAAGCTCACTGCCGCCCTAGGCAGTATTGACCAAGTTCTCAGGCTCCTGATGGGGGTGGGGGGGTCATTCTTTCTGCTGCTTGACCTCCGGGTCCCTCTTGGGACCCCCTTTCTGTCCACAGCCAGGACTCAGGGCCACCGGCCACTATGTGCTGGTTCCTGCCCAGGGCTGGGGACACGAAGGGAGGTCAGGTGATCTCTCTCACAGGTGAGATCTTGTGCAGGTGACCCCAGGGCTGGGGTGGACACCATGGGGCAGAGAAGCCAGGGACTTAGGACACCGTGACCCAGTGGGCCTGCCGAGCGGGGCTCCTTGGGGGGTTAGGAGGGGCGAAGAGGAGAGCCCCAGGCAGGCGAGGCAGGAGGCGCACCCTGGGCAGAGGGAGCAGCCCGTGCGAAGAGGAGGCACCGAGAAGCAGGGACCAGGAGGGGAGGCGCAGAGGGGCACAGAGGCCGGAGGGCCAGGCGCAGTGGGCTGAAGGGCCCCCGGAGGGCCCTCGATCTTGTGCACAGACTGTGGGGTTCATGGGGCGGTGGGTCTGCTCAATCGAGGTCACTTTGCCAGCAGCACCAAGGCTCGGTGGGGGACAGGAGGGCAATGGGGAGGAACACAGACCCAAAGGTGGCTTAGCTGGGGTCGTAGGGCTCGGCCGACTGTTCTGTGGAGGTGGAGGGGCACTGGGGACATGGGAGGGGGCAGCCCGCGGTGCCCTCACCACTGAGGGTGGGCCCAGGGACGGCGGTGCCTTCCTGCAAGGGTGAGGCCCCTGAGCCACTGTGATTGAATCTGCAGGTCCCAGGCTTGCAGGAGGTTTGGACAGAAGGTCAGCAAAGAGGCTTGGAAAGGACTCGATGCAGGCGTCATCCGAGACCTGTGAGTGGCCTGTCCCCCTGAGAATATCTGTGTTGGAGGGGCGGGCTGAGGGAGGGGCTGACACAGCAGGCAGCTGAGACGGGGCCAGCAGAAGGAGGCAAGATCAGGACGAGGTCAGGACAAGGTCAGGCAAGGTCAGCTGGAGGGGACGGTGCCACCACAGGGGCCGACCTTCAGGACTGTGCTAATTTGGCGAGGCCGGAACGAAGACCTGGGAAGGGTCTAGAGCAGTGGGCCTCCACAGTCCTGGGGAACCAGTGCCGGAAGGACAGATGGCCAGGGGAGGGCCGGGGGCTGTGCACAGGAAGTGCAGGGGAGCCGTCTTCGGGCAATGCCCATGGAGGAAAGCGTAAGAGGAGGTTTCAGGAACTGGGAGAACTTGGCTATGGCTGTGTCCAGGGGAGCGAAGAGGGCAGAGGCAGGCGGAAAGGCCAGCACAGGGGCGGAGGCTGGGCCCAGGCCTGGGTCTGCGCATCCTCCTCCTGCAGAGTGGGCGGAGCCAGGGACCACCAGGGCAGGTTTTCACCGCCCGGAGGCTGGTGGTCTACACCTCAGGGACCCACCGTGCCCATTGAGGACTCTGGTGTTCTTCCTCCCGGGGACCTTAACGGTCCAGTGGGAAAGGACAGGGCTCGGCTGTTGGTTCCCGCTCCATCCCGGCCTGGACCAGCCAGGGCCTGCTCTGCCTGGCGTGCAGGGAGGAGCACTCGGCCCTGCTCCCTCCCAGTCCAGAGCCCAGCGGCTTGCCCTGGTTCCGGTTCCCCACCCAGCCTCCCAGAGGGTCAGAGACGAGGCTTAAAATTGCAAGTCTGTGGGCCTCGTGGGGTGCAGAATGCCAGACCCCTCTTCCCTCTGGCTACCAAGTCAGGCCCCTTGTCTAAGGAGATCAGGGACTGAGGAGAAGCGTGGGGGTGGGGTGGACAGAGGGCCTGAGGGCAGAGGGTGGGTCCACGCAGCTCTGCCTTGGGCGGGGAAGTCAAGGACAGCAGGTGCCAGGGGCGTAGTGGGGAGGGGCGAAGAGGAAAGGTGCCCATGGAGAAGGCGAAGGCAGGCCTGTGCCCCTGTGCCTGTCTCGCTGTCACAGAGAGAGCCACTCCGGGCCAGGCAGGGAGGCGCTGTCTGCGGCAGCTGGGGCTCTGCCAGGTCTGGGCGCCTGGGCGACGTTGCTCCCCGGAGGGAGGGAGGAGCACAGGGTTCTGTCTCCACGCGGGCTTCTGACTAAGGGGGTGCTCAGCTCCCAGGCCCGGCAGAGTCCTCAGGGCTGGGAAGGGGAGGAAAGTTAATTGAACAGCTAATTGGTAACAGGCCCCAAGCCAAAGAATAATAATTAACTTTTATTGAGCCCAGTGCCTGACACTCCCCTACGCTCTTCACAAGAATTATCTCACCGAAGGTTCGCCATAGCCCCAGGAGAGAGCCACTGCGAGTGTTGTCCTCACTTTACAGATGGGGAAACTGAGGCAGGCTGCAGCTCAGTACTGTCCGAGGACTCGGCACCCGGACCAGGACCGGCACCCAGCACTGTGCTGCCGCCCACCTGTGCAGGCGGGACACCCAGAGATGTGGTGTGTGTGCTTGGGGGGGGCACGTGTGTGTCCAGAACAGCTGACTCCTGACCCAGTGGTGGCTTCCTCACTGGCAAGGTGAGCACTTTGGACTAGAAGTGAGTGTTCCAGTCTTTTTATTGACAAACTCTTGCTCAATGGAAATCTCGCATAGGATTTGCGAGGTATAAAACAGATTAAATAAGAACGATTCCAGCCCTGTCCAGCGTGGCTCAGTTGGTTGGAGCGTCATCCCAGAAACTGAAGGGTCATGTGTTTGATTCCAGGTCAGGGCACATGCCTGGGCTGTGGGTTCAATCCCTGGTCAGGCACACACGAGAGGCAACCAATCGATGTTTCTCTCTCCCTCCCTTCCCTTCTCTCAAAAACAATAGGAGAGCGGGCCAGAGCTGACTGGGCTTCTTCCCTGGCCCCCTGGACAGCCCCAGACACCCCGGATGGGCAAGGAACTCTGCATGCTGCCAGTCTTGGACTCCAGGGCCCCGGCTGTTGCTGAGAAACATGCAACTTCCACGACTGTGAGTTACCGCGCTCAGACATGAAAAATGCTACCAATCAGAAACAACCACCGTGTAAGAGTTGTAGATGGTTCGCATATGTGAACTCAGGAGGAGTAGCCCCAGCACAAATTTAACTTCGCTTGCGATATATAAGGTTATGCAAATTAAATGACAAGATAGTGATTTTTTAAACTATGTGACACCCTCTCCCAAAATGCAAAGTGAACCCAAAGCCACTTAGTAAAGAAGGCCACCACCAGCACCCATGCGTTTCACGAACGTTAACCCGGGAAAGTCCCTGGGCCGGCTCCCACCCACCGTGGCAGGCGGGAGACGCCAGGGCCGCGAGGACCACTCCGAGTGCCTCTGGGGGCGCTGCAGAGCCTGCGGGCACAACGTGCTGGGCGGGTTCTCCTTCATCCTCGCTGTGGCTGTGCACTGATTCAGCCAACGAGCACCAGAGACCTTCTGCCTGGCCTTGTGCTGGGTGCTCAGAATCCTGGGGGGCTGGGACGGCGCAGCTCTGCCAGATGGTGCAGGAGTGTGTCCCTGTTATAGTGACCGGTCTAAATAATCTGGGGTGCTCAGACCATGCACGGGGTCCCCTGCTCTTATCCAACAGGTGATGCCCATCACTGGTTGCAGGAAAACAAGCTCAGCTGCACCAAGGACCTGCCCTGGCTCCTGGGAACAACAAGTTTGGGGTGACAGCTGGCAACAGCTCCCGGAACACTGGCTTCCCTGTATGGGCCGGCAGACGTGCCTCCCTCCAGCCACCCTCCTCTTCCTTCCTCAGGGCCTGGTCCCACTCTCTAGGCCCCTTCATGTACTGAAGGCCTGAATACAGGGACTGGCGTTTGCACTGAAGGAATTTGGGGACAATGGCTTCATTCAATAACCTCAGTGGGTTTGTCAAACAAATTAGAATCCGTGAGTGTCCCCACTGGGAAGTTCCCTTGCCATGAGGCCATGCACACCCACGGAGCCTAAGCAGATGGCTGGCCTGCCCTTGCTTGAACACCTCCCACGATGGGAACCTCACTATCTGTAAGGCAGCCCCTTCCATTTCTCAATGATTCTCATTAGAAACTTTTTCTTAAATTTTCCCCTTAGTAGCATATACCCAGCCACCTTTAAGGCAGCCTAAAACAACTTCATCCTTTTCCATGGAACACTTCACGCCTAGAATACAGGGCTCACATGGACCAGGCAAGGCTGCAGTCACCTCTGCACCGAGTGCCACTCGCGTGCCCCTGCCCCAGTGGCACAGAGCTCAGCATCTGTCCCTGTCCCCTCCGACAACTGTCATCAGGCCCTTTACTTCAGCCCCCCGCCCTCCTGGGCTCTTCCTGCCCACTGTTCCGTAAGAGCTCTTGCAGTCTACTTTTTAAGACCAGAAATGTCTGCTTTAGCGAGTAGAGGTTGTGAAAGAGTGCCTTAAGGTGACCCCCCCCCTTGAGACCTGTGCCAGGGGAGGGAGGCATGGGAGGGACCCCCGGGGCCACCCCTCTGGGGTGGGGCAATTCTTAGGGGCAAAGCTGGGGTCCCAGCCAGGGGCGCTCCCCCTGCCAAGCCATGTGTCCTGCTGAGAGGAAGCAGTTCCCAGAAGCCCCCTCTTCTGATTCACCTGGAGGCGGCTGCAAGGACCAGCTCCAGCCCTGCTGGGGGAGTCGGGCATCTCTGAGCCCCGGCTCCCTCGTCTGTGAAAGGATGCAGGAGTAGTGGTGCCCAGGAGACACTCAGGGTGTTAGAATGAATGAGTGACACCCATCTGGCTGGGCTGTTGGGAAGATTCAGTGAGATATAATCAAGGAGTATACATTGACCTGGCACTGTGTGGGTCCCCAATATATGATCACTTGCTCCACTGCTTCTGTGGTCAAAAGAAGAAGCCACTTTTCCACACGCCGAGCGCCCTGCTTGCAGGTTCACCTTGCATTTCTTCTGGTGCCAGGCCCTCCCGGCCGTCCATCTGGACCAGGCTAAGGTGAGTGGCAGCTGCACGGGGTGGCGACCTGGGCCTGGCTGGCACTTGGTGCCTGGCCATCTGGCTGTGATGGTGGCGGCGGGACGGCCATACCCACCCTCACCTGCAGTGGACAGATTAGAGGCCGTGGACAGTAAGTTAGTCAGTCCCCGGCCACTCAGCAGCCACAGCAGTTTGTTACATCACAGCCCACACACCCGGCCACCTGTCACCCACCCAAACGCGTTGGACAGCGCCCCAACCCGGACCAGTGATGCATCGTGACTGTAACTCCCCACGGCTCCCCAAGCAGCCGGCGGGCCCTGTCTTGCCTCAGCGTCCTCGGCTCCTGTCCTTCTCGAGGACATTGTGGGGAACAAGGCATGAGCAGCCACTCTGTCTCCCGAGGTGAGGTGGTTCGCTCAGGGCTCTGAGGGACCTGGGGCTCACTCTCCACGGGCCTCAGGACCCGCCGCCAGAGGCCCAGGGGCAGCTTTGGAGGGCTGTCCGGTCTCAGGCATGCAAATGGGCTCTGCCACCGACCAGCCGTGACTCGGAGCACATCCCCAGTGTCTCTGAGCCTCGGTGTCATCGGCTGTGAGTTGGGGACAACAGTGGATCTGCTTTGCAGGGCCTGACACTGAGTCAGCACTCTGTCACAAAGGGATGGCCGCTGGTGGCTCTCCCAGTGCTTGACTCTCCTTTTCCTTCCCTGTCGGCCAAAAGGCCGAACTGCAATGCCCAACCCAGTGAGATATGGCGGTGTGGAGAGCGGAGAGAAAAAGCAGCACGATCTTTGAATTTTATTTTAGGAAATTGCGTTGGGACAACAGGCAATGAGAGGCTGACACAGAAATGGCCAAACGCAGATAATTATTGGAGCTCGGCGGTGGGCACGTGGGGTCAATTACACGGTTCTTTGTGCTCTGTGCATGTTTGAAGTGCTCACAGTAAAGCTGGTGAGGCTGCCGTGGCTCCGTGGACTGAGCGCCAGCCTGCGTGCAAACTGAAAGGTTGCTGTTCAATCCCTGGTCAGGGCACACACCTGGGTTGCGGGCCAGGCCCCCAGTAGGGGGCGCACGAGAGGCGACCAACAATGCTTTCCTCCTTCTCTTTCTCCCTTCCTTCCCCTCTCTCTAAAAAATAAATTAAAATCTTAAAAAAAAGAAGCCACAGTCCGTAAGTCAGGCCGCCCCCTGGGCCGATGCAGGGCGCTCACACGGTGGGTTTGGTGCCGGCCTTTCCCGAGGACTTTCTCCGTGGTGGGATGTGACCGATGGCATGATCAGGAAGGGCCCTGCCTCTCGGTGCTTTGGTGTAACCGAGGAGACACAGACACGGTCCACCTGCTGTGAAACGATGGTGCTTTAGACCCAGGAAGGGTTCTTACAGTCAACCCTCTGCATGGATCATCTCGCCAGCAGTTCTGCCTGGCAGTAATCGGAACCCGGCTTTGCCAACTCTGTCCACCGCCACGGGGCTCGCTGCCTGGCAACAGGGCCGGGTAGCAGCCCGAGGTGAGCGATTTCTGAACCATCAGGATTCCTGTCACCGACGGGGTCTGGTCACTGTCACGCACTGACACTGTGGAGCCCCCACCCACGGGCCCGCCCACAGCTGCGGCTTCTTCCTCTCACACTTCATTATTTATTTTGTCAGCTGGGATAGAATTCACGTGCCATATAAGTGCCCTTTTAATGTGGACCATTCAGTGGTGTGAGGATATTCACAAGACTGAGCGACCATCTCTAACCACCTAACTCCAGAATATTTTTGTCAACCCCCCCCCCAGAAAAACCCATCCCCACGAGCAGTCACTCTCCATCGCCCCATGCCCAGCTCTTGGCAACCACTCTCCTACTGGCCGTCTCCACAGACTCGCTTCTCCTGGGCGTGCTCTGTGAGTGGGGTGACAGTGCGTGGTCCCAACGTTCAGCTCCTTTCAGTGAGCGCGGTGTTTCCATCCGTGTTGTACAGCGTCAGCCCTTCCTCTCCTTCCATTGCCAAGTGCTCCTTCGCGTGTGGGTAGACGGCACTGTGTTTATCCACGCGTCCGTTGATGGGTATTGGGGCTGCTTCCACTTTGGGGTGGTTACGAATATACTGCTGTGAACACTAGTGAACAAGTTCTTATGGGGACGTATGTTTTCCAGTTCTCTTGGATGTAAACCTAAGGACGGGATTGCTGGGTCGCATGGAAACTCGATGTCTGTGTTTTCGGGGTACCAACAAACTGCTGTGCAAAGCAAGCACGTTTTATATTCCCAGCAGCAGTGTGTGGGGTTCCCATTTCAATATGCTGTGTCTGATGGTGGGCGTGGTCTCTCTTCTTGGTGGTGGTCATCCTAGGGGGCTCCGCCCTTGCAGTCGGATTTACATTCACGTAATGGCCAGCGATGCTGAACATCTCTCCACATGCTCGCTAGCCATTTGTATATCGTATTGAGAGAAATGCCTATTCAAAGCCTTAGCCAGTCTGGGTTATTTGACTTTTTATTGTTGAGTTGCAAGAGCTCTTTATATATTTGGGACCCTTATAAAATATAGAGTTTGCAAATATCTTCTCTCCTTCTGTGGGTTATTGTTTCACTTTCTTGACAGTATCCTTTAACATAAAAGTTCTAACTTTTTTCCAGCTCTGTTGAGGTCTAACTAACAAAATCGTAAGATACTTAAAGTGTGCAACATGATTGGAAAGTCTTGGTGAAGTTTAATTTATCTATTTTTTTCTTCTGTTTCTTGTGCCTTGGTGTTACATTTAGGAAACCATTGCCTAGTCCAAGTTCACACGGATTTACATCTACGAGTTTTCTTCTAAGAGTTTTATGGTTTCCAGTGTTACATTTTAAAAGCTTTGATCCATTTTGAGCAGATGTGTTTTGCACATGGTGAGAGTCAGGGGCCCAGCTGAATCCTCCCCCATGAGGCTATGCCGCCGCCCTGGCACCGCCTGCTGGAACGACTACCCTTTCCCCCAGTAAACTGTCTCGGCACCATTGTTAAAACTCAATTGCTCACATGTGTATGCGTTTATGTCTAGACTCTTAATTCCACTCCATTGATCTGCATGTCCCGCCTAATGCCAGCACCCTACTGTCTCGTTAACAGCATCTCGGGGGTGAGCTCTGAAATGGAAAGTGTGAGTTCTCCAACTTGGTTCTTCTTTATCAATAGTGTTTCGACTCTCCTGGGTCCCTTGAATTTCTATGTCCCTTAAATTTAAGGGCCAGTTTGTCTATTTCTGATAAACAACACACACACACGCACCCATCTGGGATCTTGACAAATCTTGCATTGAATCTGCAGATCAATCTGGGAAGCACTGCGGTCTAGCCAACATGGAGCCTTTCAGTCCATGAACTGGGGGTGTCTTGCTATTATTTAGCTCTTCTGTAATTATTCAGTGGTGTTCTCCATCTCCCTGCGCCCCTCCCAGCCTTTTCCTTCCCACCGAAATAGCTGCAGTGCCTGGAGGATGCACACGGGACATGGTTACCAGCCGCTCAGCCTCCTGGCCGCTCCTCCAAACGAGCTCCTATCTGTCCAGGTCCCCCTGCAGGTGTGAGGGCAGGAACCCCTGGAGCACAGTGCTGCAAACACGTGGGAAAGGTTCTTACGGGAACCTGCCAGGGAGGAGGCCCTCTTGGGGGACACCACGCTGTCCGCCAGGGACCCACCTGCTCCTAGGCCCCAGCACGCTGGCCCTGGGCTGACTCGTCTGCCTCCTCCCAGGACACTGTGAATGGGACAGACACA